CACACATGTAGGACACCCAACATTGGAGGTGATTTATTCTCCCAAAGCAAATACACTTTTGCACACTGGTACAGACTAGTATTCCAATGTTTCTCCTCTCCCTCAGTTTTTTCTTCATCACTGAGCTAATGTAACCCCAGAGCTGATGGAGAGGGGCAGGGAAGGGTCAAACTAGGATGCTGTGCAGGCAGCGGACATCCTCCTTATCAACTGATGATGCCATTGGTTGTCAGGACGCTGGCGGCTAGAAGGTCGTAATGGTGAACAATGAAAACCTGTGGCTTTGTGTAACTAAAAGGCAGGCTTGTTCCACCCCGCTGGCTTGTATACAAGTTTTGGGCAATTTTTAGACAATTTTCCATGGCACCCCTGAAGGAACCTCAAGGCACCCTGGTTGAGAAAGGCTGGTTTGGAATCTGTTAGGCTTTACAGAGTCCTATGTCCTTGCTGGGTAGATTCATCTCCTCCTTTTGTCCTGGTGACCATTGTCACCAAGCCAGATAGAAATGGGAAGGCCAAAATGTACCGGCTGTCACCGATGAACAGATGACAAGAGGAAATTCGGAAATGGGGACACCTTTCCCCAATGTTAGATGCAGGCACCAATACCCTATGCATTCCTAAAGAACTGACCTCACCGAAAAGAAAGACTACAAGTCAAGTGGATCTTCACTCAGAAACCACTTTGCCCCATTGTTTGCCTCCCACCACATATTCGCAGACTTTAGTTTTCATTTACTTTTTTTTTTTTTTTTCCTTTTGTATTCCACCCAACCCCCTGCCTCCATTCTCAACTAGACGAGAACCACCTAGAACCCTGCTCCTGGAGCCTCCTGGGACATCAGAAGGGGATAGACAACCCTGAAAGAAGGAGGACTCAAACCTTGTCCTCAGGGGACCATCTGCAGGAACCAGAAGAGACAACCGACTCCCACTATAAAGGAAAATAGCAACGCCAGGACCCAATGTACAACAGCAGAGCGGCGGAGCACAGCAGAACAACTCTGGATTTGCTGCGTGGGCGAGCAGGTTGAGGATAAAAGGTAGGAATGATCTAAAAAAAAAGTAGATTAACAAAAGGGGTAAAAGGTGGAAGACAAGGCAGCTCTACTCATTCACCTAGGTCAGGGGTAGGCAACCTGCGGCTCTCTAGCTGTTGTGGAACTACATTTCCCATGAGGCATTGCAACATTACAAAACTATAATAATGGCAATGCCACTCCAAAATAAATAAGTAAATCTAATAATATATAAAGTACCCCTTATAGCATATATTTCACCTTCACCCCTGAAGACGTAACTAATAAATAAATAATAAAAATGACACCTAAATAAATAACGCCCAACAAAGTAAATAATAAAATTTAAATAAAAAATAATAATCAAAGTCCAAAAAATTATAATAAAAACCACACAAGTGTCCTACAAAAAAGTCATAAAGGTGATTTCACAGAAATGTCCAAATATCAGAGCCTCTCAAAGGCTTTCACGACCGATCAAAATAAAAAAAAAAAAAAAAAAAAAAAAAAAAAAAAAAAAAAGAAATCATACAAAGTGCATTATCCTTTTAAATAAATTCTACAAAAACAATGTGTGAATTCACTGCACTGTGTAACACTTTGTGGGGCGATATTTATTTAGGTGGCAGATTTATTAACATTGCAAGTCATAGCTGTAACTGTCAGTTTTGTAGAGGCATGATGGAACTTGTAGTCCTGCAACAGCTGGAGAGCCGCAGGTTGCCTACCCCTGAACCAGGTGGATGCAGCATCGATCTGATGCTGCATCTGTCCCCCACTGCTTCTAAGACTGAGAATTGAGCGATCAAAGACCGTTGATCACTCAGTTCTTAGCCTTCAGTGAGCAAAGAGCCAGTTACCAGCTCTCTGTTCTGCCCCTCCAGCGCTCACTGGAGTGCAGGGCTGTATATGGGGCGAGATAAATCCTTCGTGCCGGAATCTGCTACCAGTCAAGGATCTGGGCATGTCCCGACATTATTGACAGGACCCCTGCAGAGCCTGGACCGGCTGAGTTTTTGCCCACTGTTGGCTGAAAATGGGTCACAGGATTGCAAAATGATGTGCACACCGGTGTTCCCGAGCAGGAATTATAGCCAAAAAGGGTTTGGCCATACATCTCCTTTAACTAATTGCCCACCGCAGATAGCCGAATGACGGCTACACTAGCCGGCCAGTTCTGGGTGGATGTCATAGGACGTCCTCCCAGAATGCGCTCGGGGGGGGCGCGCTCCCGGCGATCTCTGTGATCGGCCTTTTACCACGTGATCAGCCGTGTCCAATGACACGCTGATCACCGGGAAAATGCAAATGCTGGTTCTCGGCTGCACTTTCTTCACGCTGTCAGATCATGAGGAAAGTACTGCCGAAATCCGGCAGTTGTCAGAGCGGGGATCGGCACCGATCATCAGGGTCACTGATCACCAGTGCCCTGATGATCGGTGCCCACCTGTGTCACCCAGCAGTGCGCCCACCTGTGTCACCCAGCAGTGTCACCACCTGTGCCCAGAAATGTCACCCACCTGTGCCCACCAGTGCCCACCAGTGCCACCCACCAGTGCCACCTACCAGTGCCCACCAGTGCCCAGCGGTTGTGCCAGTCAGTGCCACCTATCAGTGCTGTCTATCAGTACCCATTATCAGTGTCGCCTATCAGTGCCACATATCAGTACCACCTATCCGTGACACCTCATTAGTGCTGCCTATCAGTGCCGCCTATCCGTGCCACCTCATTAGTGCTGCTTATCAGTGCCGCCTATCCGTGCCCTTCAGTGCCGCCTAATCAACGCACATCAGTGGATAAAAATTACCTGTTTGAAAAATGTTATGATAGAAACAAAAAAAACTTTTTTTTTTTTTTCAAATTTTTTTGCACTTTGTTTACTTATAGCACAAAAAGTAAAGTGCCCAGCAGTGATTAAATACCACCAAAAGAAAGCTCTATTTGTGAGAAAAAAATGATAAAAATTTCATATGGGTACAATGTTGCATGACCTCACAATTGTCAAAGTGCGGCAGCGCTGAAAGCTGAAAATTGGCCTGGTAGGCAGGAAGGGGGTAGAAGTGCCCTGTAGGCAGGAAGGGGGTAGAAGTGCCCGGTAGGCAGGAAGGGGGTAGAAGTGCCCTGTAGGCAGGAAGGGGGTAGAAGTGCCCTGTAGGCAGGAAGGGGGTAGAAGTGCCCTGTAGGCAGGAAGGGGGTAGAAGTGCCCGGTAGGCAGGAAGGGGGTAGAAGTGCCCGGTAGGCAGGAAGGGGGTAGAAGTGTCCGGTAGGCAGGAAGGGGGTAGAAGTGTCCGGTAGGCAGGAAGGGGGTAGAAGTGTCCGGTAGGCAGGAAGGGGGTAGAAGTGCCCGGTAGGCAGGAAGGGGGTAGAAGTGTCCTGTAGGCAGGAAGGGGGTAGAAGTGCCCGGTAGGCAGGAAGGGGGTAGAAGTGCCCGGTAGGCAGGAAGGGGGTAGAAGTGCCCGGTAGGCAGGAAGGGGGTAGAAGTGTCCTGTAGGCAGGAAGGGGGTAGAAGTGCCCGGTAGGCAGGAAGGGGTAGAAGTGTCCGGTAGGCAGGAAGGGGGTAGAAGTGCCCGGTAGGCAGGAAGGGGGTAGAAGTGCCCGGTAGGCAGGAAGGGGGTAGAAGTGTCCGGTAGGCAGGAAGGGGGTAGAAGTGTCCTGTAGGCAGGAAGGGGGTAGAAGTGCCCTGTAGGCAGGAAGGGGGTAGAAGTGTCCGGTAGGCAGGAAGGGGGTAGAAGTGTCCTGTAGGCAGGAAGGGGGTAGAAGTGCCCTGTAGGCAGGAAGGGGGTAGAAGTGCCCTGTAGGCAGGAAGGGGGTAGAAGTGCCCTGTAGGCAGGAAGGGGGTAGAAGTGCCCGGTAGGCAAGTGATTAAATAGGAAGTCTATCAAAAAATCTTTTAGGTTGGGTCCCAATGTGTTACACTATACGCCACCTTTAGTAATGAAGCCACTGGATCAGCATGAAAGAAGGGCAACTGCCATTTTCAGAAAAGGTCAACAAAAGGCAGCCGTGAGTTGAGGCTTTTAACTTTCAGTTTTTCGTTGGAGTGAACGCTTACCAGCTTACCGTAAAGCTTTAAATCTGCTGCCCCGCACAGCGGACACAAGGCTTACCTACGAAATATATTCGAGAACAGATAGCAATTGGAAAAGAAAGGACACGGCATATATCTACCCGACGCTACCTAATTCCACCCTTCACCTTTCCCCGTCCGACGTACATAAAAATATCTGAACGCGGCGGAGGAGGTAAGCACCAAGGGCACCCTTTCTACAAAAACGGATAAAAATGGATTTTGAATGCCGAGTAAAAATAAATCCCTGGCTATCCGCACCCTGGCCTGTCGCTGAACGCGGATTTAATGGTTTTTCACTGCAAGACAGGAGATGTATAAAAATAGCACATGGTGTTCTGTGAGCAGCGAGCCAGGCTATGGAGGAGAAATGCAGAGCGAGGGAGAGGGAGGACGTTCCGGAGTGACAGCTCAGGGGCACAGAGGAACGGTGATCTGCTCGCTCGCTCGCTGTAAATCTAGCACAAGGCTGAGCAGCAAAGGACACAAATTCCAAGGTTGTTCTGTGTTGTCAATAGAACATTCCTTCGCTGTCCAGACTCCCACCGTAATGAACAAATCAAAGTATTCAGCAATGAAGGAAATTGTCTTTTTAGAGTTTATTTTAGATAGGTTTATGAATGTGAACCAAAAGATGAAGATAATCCTATTAATGTTCTACAAACCTTGGTGTGTAAGTATGCACAGTATGGCCGAACGTATCGCTCCATCCAAATGACTGAATTTAGGGGTTTCCATTGAAGGGTATGGGTATTATTACAACATAAAAAGACATTAGACACGTGCTTCTCAACCTTCCTAATGCCGCGACCCTTTAATCTCCCCGCTCCAGACCATCCTGAACTCAGCGGCCAGACTCATCCACCTCACCACCCGCTCCACCTCTGCCACCCCCCTCTGCCAATCCCTCCACTGGACTCCACTCAGTGTCCTCCACCCCTCTCTGCCAATCCCTCCACTGGACTCCACTCAGTGTCCTCCACCCCTCTCTGCCAATCCCTCCACTGGACTCCACTCAGTGTCCTCCTCCCCCCTCTGCCAATCCCTCCACTGGACTCCACTCAGTGTCCTCCACCCCCCTCTGCCTCTCCCTCCACTGGCCTCCACTCAATGTCCTCCACCCCCCTCTGCCTCTCCCTCCACTGGACTCCACTCAGTGTCCTCCACCCCCCTCTGCCTCTCCCTCCACTGGACTCCACTCAGTGTCCTCCACCCCCCTCTGCCTCTGCCTCCACTGGCTCCCGATTGCCCAACGCATCAAATTTAAACTCCTAACCCTGACCTACAAAGTCGTTCACTACACTGTCCCTGACTACCTCACCAACCTGATCCCCAAGTACCACCCAACCCGTACCCTTCACTCCTCACAGGACCTCCTTCTATCCTGCTCCCTGGTCTCCTCCTCCCATGCACGACTGCAGGACTTCTCCAGGTCCTCCCCCATCCTCTGGAACTCACTGCCCCAATCCATCAGACTGTTGCCTTCCCTCTTCACATTCAGGCACTCCCTCAAAACCCATCTCTTCAGGGAAGCCTACCTCACCCTCACCTAACGGCCATTCTCCCTCTTTCCTCCCACCCCTCATTACCCTCAGCCACTTCCTACTGTACCTTTACCCCCTCCCTCCTAGATTGTAAGCTCGAAAGAGTTGTACTGTTTCATGTATTGTCCCCCCCTCTATTGTACAGCGCTGAGCAAACCCTTTGGCGCTATATAAACTCGAAGTAATAATAATAATAATAATAATACAGTTCCTCATGTTGTGGTGACCCCCCAACCAGGGGGCAATAGGGGATCATGGGGCCCCTGTGTCCTTGCCCAAACTCAAAAAAGCCTATGAAAAAAGGTACCAGGGGCATCTCATGGGGCCCCCCCACTGACCCTGGGCCCTCGGGCAGTGCTCAAGTTTCCAAATGGTCAGTCCGCCCCTGCCCCCAACCATAAAATTATTTACCCAGTAATTATAATTCATGAAGTGTCGTTTTACCTCCAATACTGCTGCTTTCTACACAGTAGCTGCTTTCAACACAGTAGCTGCTTTCAACACAGTAGCTGCTCTTACACATCGGAAATATGTGTTTTCCGATGGTCTTAGGTGACCCCTGTGAAAGGGTTGTTCGACTCCCAAAGGGGGTGGTGGATGGTTTTCTTAAATAGTTCTCCAGTTTCTATCACAATTTGTCACATGCCTGATGAAGGGGTCCTGCGAGACTCCGAAACGTTGCCTTGCTGTAACTATGTGATGGTTTATTAAAACCTTTGGACCCATATTGGTGATCCTCGGTGTGCTGGTGACATTTTTTCCTTTTCGACCCCCAAAGGGGTCGCGACCCACAGGTTGAGAACCACTGCATTAGACCATCCTCGCTCAACCTTTTCAACATAGAGGAACCCTTGAAATTACTTTGTGAGCTCAGGGAACCTCTTGCTAAATACTACATCTATAGCTCATGTTACATCAGTGTGATGGTCCGTGGGAAGAATGCTCCCTATACCGGAGGTCATCGGGAAGAATGCTCCCTATACCGGAGGTCATCGGGAAGAATGCTCCCTATACCGGAGGTCATCGGAAAGAATGCTCCCTGTACCGGAGGTCATCGGGAAGAATGCTCCCTATACCTGAGGTCATTGGGAAGAAATAGCACCTGATAGATAGCTTAGTAGATCAATGGTGTTAGTGGAAGCTTACCTGAGAGGCAGGCATTGCTCAAGGAACCCTGACAAATGCTGGAGGAACCCTAGAGTTCCATGGAACCCTGGTTGAGAGACCCCACATTAGACAATCGTGTTCTTCCAACCTTGTGGGAACAGTATGGTGAAGACCCTTTACTGTTCCACCATGACTTTGCCCCCGTGTACAAAGCCAGCTCCAGAAAGACATTGTTAGACCAGTCTGGTGTGGAGGAACTCAGGTGGCCTACACAGAGTCCTGACCTCAACCCTACAGAACACTTTTGCCATGAACAGAAACGCTTACTGCGAGTCAAGTCCCTTCAACCAACTTCAGTACCTGACCCCAAGGCCTGTGAAGCCACCTCTGCATTGTCTCAGCAGGTACTGTAGATGAGTCTCCTTGTGTCCGCAGGAACAGAGAGCCCCAGTGGAAAGCCACTTCCCTTTAACCCGCTCCTCCCTGCAAGTGATTGTTTAGAGCTGGAGCCTGTGCTCAGTCCCTAAATCAGTGACTGTCAACTGACCTTCCAGGTGGATTCCCACAGTGCTGCCCAACCCACAACAGTGCCCCCCACCTCCAACAGTGTTCCACACTCCCCCTGCCCAATGTCCCACAGCTAGTGCCAGTACAAGGGCATCTAGCGCCCTGGGCGAAAATGCCAAATGACCACCCCCCCAAAAAAATATAAGCATTTTGTGTAAGATCTCCTCTCTCCCCCCTCTCAAAAAAAAAAAATAATAATTTGAGTACCAATCTTCACATGAATTTACTTGTACAAGCCAAAAATCTCCCCATAGAAAAAATTCACACTTTCGGTAAAAATCCCCTCTTCCTCTTAGAACAAATCCTCTAACCCTCAAATTTCTCCTCTGTAAATAAATCCTCTCCCCCTTCAAATCTCCCCTCCTCCAATCACCATCCCAGCACAAATCTCCCTCCCAAATTTCCCCTTCTAGCACAAATCTCTCCAAATTATCAAATCCCCCTACCTATTACAAATCCACCCTCCTAGTCCCCTTCTAGCACATCCCCTCCAAATCCCCACTGCACCCAGGGCAGCTGCCCCTCCTGCCCATCCCTTGTCCCAGCCCTGTCTTCAGCCCCCCCCCCCCTCATTCCCCAGGTCCCCAACAGCACTTTCCAGTCTCCTACGGTGCCCCTGCAAAGAGACCCCCCCCCCCCCATCCCTCCCCAGTTTCCTCCAGCCCCCTCCAGAAAGCTCATTCCCTACAGAACCAGCAAGCCTATTGCAAAGTCCCTCAACACCCTCCAGATACCCCATCTCCCTACAGTGACCCCCAACCCCATCCAGAGCGTTCCAACACTTCAATACATAGTTTGCATTTTGTATTTCTTTCTGTTGTGACAAGAACAGTTTTGGAATAATTTACCAGACTCCGGCCTCAAAAGGGTTGAGAACCACTGCCCTAGAGCCCAATGCATGTGAAGGGTATATTGTGAGTACCTCCCTACCCTGAGGTTTGGGCAAGCAGAGCCGAGAGACCTACAGCTGGCGCTGGTGAACAGACATAGAAAATGTATGGGCACAGAAACAACAAAAATACGTAGTGGAGGAAGTTGTACTGCTCGACTCTAACGCAGTTAAAAAAAAATACAGGAGGGTTTTGAAAAGTGGTGCACAGCAAGCCCATATTAGATGTGATGGTCAGGTGTCCACAAACCTTTGACCATACAGTGTAGCCGCTCTCAACCTTTCCAACAGAGGAACCCTTGAAATAACTTCCCAGGGTCAGGGAACCATTACAAAAATGACTATCTATTCATGATACATGATGGTCAGTGGGAAGAATGCTCCAAACACTTGCGGTCATTGAGAAGAATTACTCTCTTACAGATCGCTAAAAAAATTAAATGGTGTCAGTAGGAACTTATCTGGAGGAGCTGAAATTTTCCATTGCTCAAGGAACCCCTAGCAGCATCTGGTGTTCTACAAAATCCTAGTTGAGAAACCCTGATTTATACAGACTCAAATGTGGAAAATGTATTCGGGTCAAGACTCAAGGGAAGAGTAGGAACTTCTCTGAGAGGCAGAACTTGCTCATTGTTCAGAGAACCCCTGGCAACTTCTGGAGGAACCCTAGTTGAGAAACCCTGATTTATACAGACTCAAATCTGGAAAATGTATTGAGGTCAACACTCAAGGGAAGAGTAAGAACTTCTCTGAGAGGCAGAACTTGCCCATTGTTCGAAGAACCCCTGGCATCTTCTGGAGGAACCCTAGCTGAGAAATCCTGATTTATACAGACTCAAATGTGGAAAATGTATTGAGGTCAAGACTCAAGGGAAGAGTAAGAACTTCTCTGAGAGGCAGAACTTGCCCATTGTTCGAAGAACCCCTGGCAACTTCTGGAGGAACCCTAGTTGAGAAACCCTGATTTATACAGACTCAAATGTGGAAAATGTATTCGGGTCAAGACTCAAGGGAAGAGTAGGAACTTCTCTGAGAGGCAGAACTTGCCCATTGTTCAGAGAACCTCTGGCAACTTCTGGAGGAACCCTAGCTGAGAAATCCTGATATAGTGTATCCCTGCAAGGGGAAAGCCGCATTTCCTAATCACGTACGTAGGCTGTTCCACCTCTTTTCAGAGCTGAAGAGTGATTGTTCTTTACTCATTCTCTTAGAACAAGTGCATCAGCCTGATAGAAAACAAGTCTCTTTACATAACCGAATTTAACCGGAGGCACAGAAAGGAATCTATAAATAGAACACAATCATAAAAAATACGAAACAACCAGAATGTACACTACAGAAGCAGGGAACGAAGATGAAGGATGATGTCAGATGAGCGATTCTAGAGAGAACTTGTCCAACGCAGGATGGATGAAGACTTGTCTGTCCCTACGGAATAATTTCCCTCTGTGGCCAGAACGCTGTTGAAATTGATCGCTAGAGATTGTGGGGGGGGGGGGGGGGCGACATTCTGCTGCCTTAACAACAAGCGAGAGAGCGATCCTGTAGGGACAGAGATCCTAGCACTGGTGATTTTTCACTAGAGGCAGAATCGTTCATAAATTTCAACCCTTCTTTCCCAGTGATGGAATGCCCTAAAAAAAAAAAAAAAAAAAAAAAAAAAAAAAAAAGAGACCCTGGCGCCATAAATCCAGTACAACAAAAGTTCCCGGAACCAGGCCGCGGGCCTGTTAGATACCAGGCCGCAGGTTCGCGGGCCAGTACTTGTTCCTAACAGGTCCGTGGCCTGGTACCAGGCCGCGGACCTTTTAGGAACCAGGCCGCGGGTCGGTACCAGGCCACGGACCTGTTAGGAACCAGTACCGGCCCGCGGACCTGTTAGGAACCAGGCCACTGTTAGGAACCAGGCCACTGTTAGGAACCAGGCCACTGTTAGGAACCAGGCCACTGTTAGGAACCAGGCCACTGTTAGGAACCAGGCCACTGTTAGGAACCAGGCCACTGTTAGGAACCAGGCCACTGTTAGGAACCAGGCCACTGTTAGGAACCAGGCCACTGTTAGGAACCAGGCCACTGTTAGGAACCAGGCCACTGTTAGGAACCAGGCCACTGTTAGGAACCAGGCCACG